CTGGCCTTACTACTAGGAACAAGAAGCTACTAGGGGCCCCTGGCCTTGCTACTAACAAGAAGCTACTAGGGGCTCCTGGCCTTACTACTAGGAACAAGAAGCTACTAGGGGCTCCTGGCCTTACTACTAAGAACAAGAAGCTACTACGGGCTCCTGGCATCGCTACTAGGAACAAGAAGCTGCTAGGGGCTGACAAGAAACTACTAGGGGCTCCTGGCGTCGCTACTAGGAGCAAGGACGCTACTAGGGGCTCCTGGCCTTACTACTAGGAGCAAGAAGGTACTAGGAACATGTGCCTTGCTGTAGCCATTCGCGACTCAGACAGTCATGGTCGGGCGACCATGATAAGCAGGAGTGGTGGGATGGATATGGGTGCGGGTAGTCCTGGCCACGATCTCTGGATCTCAGGTGCGCGTACATTGGTTGGGGTGAAGAGGAAGCAAGTTTGATGGATGTCGACGACGATGGCTTTGTGACGCTGGCAGAGTCACTTGGATGACTTGGGTGCCCGCACTCGGGCCAGTGACATGGCATGGCGGCGTGGGCATGGTCCATTTGTATATTGGAAAGCAGATATTTCAAGGGCTGGCTGTTTACCCTTTCTTTGTGCGCGTGGCTAGATTGAATATAGGTACCACGATCACGATGCAGCCTTGAATTGTTTTGTTGGGGCGAATCCCATTACCAAAACCATCCACAACTGAACAGATTTTTGTTGGATCACATTCTTCAGATATTAGCAGTTCAGAACCACTCCGCCACTGTCGAAACTCCAGGTTCAAGAACTTTGTGGGCGACAGCGGCGGGCTCTCGGCCATTTTTGAGCACCGCCGCCAGCGGGTGGCGCGAAAGCAATGGGGTGTCGAGGTGCGGGGGATGATGGTCAGACGGTCGACCTTTCTTCCTTTCCTTTGTTTGTTTCTATATCCCCCTCCCCTTGATTTAGAAATCGGGGGAGGGGGGTAACCGTTAGAAATGTCATTTTTAGTTTAATTGTTTCCTTGGTGTTTTCAAGGTTTTGGTTGATTTGGGATGATGTCGCCCGATCGTTTGTGGGTGCATGTGATTCCACTGCAAGGTGAATCCTTAGTTGACAGGGGAAGCGCACCACGACTTGCAAGCTAAGAAATTCAGATCACAACTTGCTAGAGAAGGCTTAACAATGACAATAGACAATAAAATACCTAAGACACCTGGGTATGTAAAATTTGTCGTTTTGTGAAACTCAACTAATTTCTGGTCTTCTGGAAAAATTCGCTTCATGGGTTTGCTTGCCGCTTTCGACTTTCAGTAGCGTGCAAACAAATTGCACTGTTTCGGTGCCGTTTTGTGCCGTGTTGGTGCCATTTTGTGCAGTTTCGTTTCTTGTGTTTCTTTTGGGTGATGTGTCAAATTTAATATTTCCTCTATTCTATCCAAAACCAAAAAAGTGCTGCGCTACAGAAATTTGTGCCGCCTGCCCCAACAACTATGTTTTGTTCGAAACAGCCAAAAAATACATACAAAGGAAGATGTAGGTATGCGTTTCCAAATGCAGATATGAACCCGTGCATTCATTATGCCACATCGCACTCCAGCACCGTGACTTCGGTCATCATGATTAGGGTTTAGGGTATTAGATTCTTTAGCAAAACCTCCCGACAATTAGATTCTTTTGTGAAGCCCCCTGACAATTAGATTTTCAGCCCGCCTCGACTGAATCCGGAGGATTTAGTCAAGGCAAGCTGTTTTTTCTCAAGTCAAGCCCTGCCGCCTCGAGATTTTTCAGCCCGCGGCAGAATTTTTTCCATAGTAGAATCTAATTGTTGGGGGGTTTACACTTCATAGTAGAATCTAATTGTTGCCTCCTTCCCTCCTTCGTTCCTTCCTGCCCTTGCCGCGCCTTCCCTTGCGCGGATTCCGTGCCATTCCCTTGTGCAGGTTCCGCCCCTTCCCTCCTTCCCTCCTTCCGTCCGACCTTCCTTCCTTCTTTCCCTTGCCGTGCCGTGCCCACCCCTCGCGCGGGTTCCGCGCTCTTCCCTTGCGCGGGCTCCGCACTTTTCCTTTTTCCGGGCTCCGTACCGCTCTTCCCTTGCGCGGGTTCCGCGCTCTTCCCTTGCGAAGGGGTTCTGCGCTTGTCCTTTGCGCAGGTTCCGCACCCTTCCGTTGCGCGGGATCCGCGCCCTTCCCTTGCGTGGGATCCGCACCCTTCCCTCGCCAGACCAATCAATGTGATGGTGGCACACACGCCGCCTGCGAGGGGTAGTGGCACTGCAAAAAAAGAGCAGAGAGCCGCAGAGCAGTCAATTCTGACAAACACGCGTGGGCTGGTATACTTTGGATAGCCTGAAGTGAATCTGATGGGATGATGTTTCTATGTTTCTAAAGGTCAATCCAGGCCAATTCATGTGATGGTTGTGACTGTAGTAGATATTGTTTATTTAGTTTCGTTCCATTGTCCGACGTTGACTGACATGTTTTGTTTCTCATTTTGGCGGCTCTCGATCGGGGACATCGCATGCAAAAAAATTACTTTTAGAGGGTGTAAACCATCTAAAAGAAATTGACCCCCCCGCCTCCTCCCCCCCTAAGCAGTGGGGGATGTTTCTATTAGCCATGGCCTCCAACCTACTTGCGATGGCCTCCAACCTACTAGCAAACTATATTTATCTATATATTTTCCAGACTATTGCTATTTGGAATTACTTGGTACCTGCGCATGTTGCTTTTCCCATGCCTCATATGCCTCGGCTTGGCCGCACCAGGCGCCCTCCGTTCTCGAAGTGGGCTCTCGTGTGCGCTCCTACTTCCATACGCCGGATGGGAAACACGAAAGCAAATCAGATGTGAAAGAGGATATGTTGTTCTTCATTTGCAGGCCACTGGAAATCATCCCGCGCATTGCCTGCTTGGTTTTTCAAAGAGGTTCTTTCACGCGTACGGTGACGGCTGCCAGCCTCGTCTCCAATCAAGAAGTGCCCGATGTTTATCCATGTTTGTTCTACCGTCAGCGCAGTCAGCGTGTGTTTGTCCTTTTGAACGTAGTCCTCGGTCGACTCACCCAACATACATAATAAATTATGTAATATGTAGCAGATGTTTGCAGTGTTCCTTTTTTTCTTCCAGAAGGTCCTCATCTTCCGCTCAGGAAGAAATCTGAGAATGTCCGGGAAGGTCAGATTCTAGAGCTCCGGGTGATGCCCAACAATGGTGTCCCTTGGTCCAAAAAAACAATTCTGTTGTAGCCTCTGGGGATGGAGGTTGCAGTGGGTATCAGTGGGTCGCATTTGTTCATAGTGCAGTGTCGGTTGTTGGACACCAGTGACCGGATAAGTGGATTATTTTGATGGAAGTTGTGCTTGGACATCGGCAGCCATCTACTACAGTTTATTGAATGCTGTGTATCTATTGTCTATGACATATATGATATCATATGATTATATGTGTGTACATTTTATACAAGTGTGGCTGTGGCTGCAAGACTTGAACACCTTGAAGATCAACTATCCCAATCAAGTATCCAAAACCTAAAAACCCTTAGATCCACAGGTCCAGGCAGCGCCGCCGCCATCGAGCTGAGGTCCTCATTGACTTTGTTGAGGAGGGCGGGAAGGGCAACCGTCAAGCGGCTCGGCGGTGCATGTTTCATCCCTCCGCTTTTGCAAGAGGTCCTTTGCGGTGTTGGTGTAGAATTAAACAGATGCCTTTGCAGTGGGGGGCCCGAGAGTTTGAAGAGCATCCCAGTCGTAGACCGGGGAACTCGCAACATCAGCTAGACCCCACTCCCCAGGGAAAAAAATCCAACTTTTCCTGAGGTGTTGGACTATTTTAAGTATAGCTTGAGAGATCTTGAAAGCAACACCCGTTGAAAACATTCATGGAAGTGGAAAAGGCACTGTTTGTAGTATGTAGAGGAGCATCGTTTAGCCAGTGGAATGTGAGGGAGGCCATTGTTCACAGTTTGTTCCTTGGCCTCGTCAGGTTTGCTTGTACAGGACCCAAAGCTATGCCCTTAAACAATTACTGTATATACCTAATTGAACACCCATTTGCTGCGGCACTGTAGGTGGTTCCGCAGAGTTGGATCTTCAGCGACACACGAGACAGCGATGTGGTTGCAGCACTCCGGGAGGCTGGGCGGCCGAGAGAGGATCCACATTTCAAGCCACAGAAGATTTAGAAGACATGATAAAACCACCCAAGTTTTCCAAGTAGAGTTTAGGCATTGTTCGTCTTCGACCCTTCGGAGAACTCTTGTATACAACGTGTTTTGAAGTTGCAGAAAAGCTTTCTGATTTCAATAGAGCGTTTGATGCGTTTGCCCAAGGAGCTGGTGCTCTCCCAAAGACGTTTTCACGGGCCGCGACCAGTGTAAGTGTAACCAGCACCACCAGTGCCATGACACGGTCGACCAAGAGGGTTGCATTTTTCTCTGCCCGCTGTGGCCAATCTTTCCCGAGGTCGGCATCTTAGAAGAGCAACAGGCAGGACCGACACGGGCAGATTTGTTACAGCATACCGTATGAGGAATCAAGATGAATCAAGCGGTGACAAGCAGTGGAAAACAACACCTGCGCCAGAAGGTGCCAGGATTCTCCTGAAACGTCCCGGAACTACTGATGGAACGGCTTCGCATTTTTCTCACACTCAATGAAGTAAGATTAGTATACCGACACTAGGCCACGCCTAGAGTCCAGCTTGATCACAAAGTTAGCCTTCAGATTCATGCATTATAAGCACCGAGTGCTGATTTCAACTGTTTCGGTTTCCAGACACCTGTATGTTCAGTTTCGGGTTCCTAACCTCTTGAGGTAGTTGAGTCGCATTATCCTAAATATCAGATCCGGTCAACACGAAAGACATCCTGAATGACGCTGATCCCACTGCTGCGATCCATGAGGCCTTCTGGGCAGCGATTTTCCCGGAGTCTGAGATGCGTGCGGTGGAGCCTTGGCACCTCAAACGGGACAAGGCCCAAGAAGGTCTGTTTGGGGTATGGGATGGCATAGGTATGGGTTGATTACAAGGACAACTTGGCTGTGTTGCTGGGGGTCAGACTTTCTGACAAATCAATGTGAATACATTGGCCCCCTGAAAACAAAGCATAGCAAGAACCATGTGCAGCACAGACAAAAAACATATAGGATCAGGTGAGTTGTCTTTGAAGTAAGTGTTGCCTGCGCTAGGAAGTTTTATGCCCTTTTGCACTTTTGGACCAAGGAGAAATTGGTGCCTTGCCAGCGTGCGGCTCTCTACCACGTCCGCGCGAATGCCACTGCGAGCCACGAGGCGCGAGACTGTTTTTTTGACTTCGGTAGAAAGCTGTTCGATTCGAATGCAGACTCTGTTCTTTTTGCCGTTTCATGTGTCCCGTTGAAGAAATGTTCCTTCAGACGAAACTGCTGCCACTCTATGCAGCTCCATGTGCCAGGCTGCGATGCCAGAGCTGCGCAAGCGCTTCGAGAACTTGGGCCACTCCGAGCGGGAGCTGCAAGCCTGCCACCTGGCATCCACCACCTGTCTGACAATCCTTTGCAAAATTAAAAGGAACTTCAGGGAACTTCAATGAAAAAAAACAACTTTTGGGGAGCGTCTCTTTGTAAGTTTTTGTGTGTTTGTATGCAGAATAGTTGTTGGATGGGCTTGTTTTTTCGACCTTAAAGATTGAAGGGCAAGAGTCTTGACCAAAAAGCAGCTAAACATAGTTAAGATAGTTACATACTGTTCACTTGTTTATGTATTTGTCCTGGAACACCAGTGGAGTGAGGTGATGAGCATGAATGCTTTGCCAGCCAAAGAGGGGTGATTGCAAGGTTCATGCTGCTCTAAAAAACCTCTCTCTCACAATCTTCTTCAGCCCTCTCCGTTCACAAAACTCAGAAATCCCTGCCGTCGTCCAACCATGTCCTCCCAAAAGCTGCTGGCAACCTGCGGCAATGCCGCCTCCGAAACGCCTCTGTTGATTCTCCAAAAACATGGTGATCTCAACCCATTTTGAGATCTCAGCGTTTACAATCCTGCTACCAAATGTGGATTGCATGCGCCTGCGCTGGTGGGAAAGGAGTAGAGGTGTTTTTCGGTGAAGGTTGTTAGATTTTGTCACAGCGGCCTCGTCCCGCCTCCTTCGCCTCCTCCTCCGCCTCCCGGTCCTCAACCGCAAGTGCCAGATCGCAGTAGGCGTGACCTCAACCGCAAGTGCTAGAGCGCAGTGGGCACTGCCGGCTTCAACTGCGAGCACTAGATCACAGTGGGCATCCCCAGACCTCGAGATAGAATGTCAGAAAATTTAAGATAGAACGCAGAATATATGCTAGATAGAATGGCTGAACTATGTCAGAATGTGTGCCACATTGCATGCCAGCATAAATGCAAGATAGAGTGCCAGCCACTGCGAGATTAATTTCTCAGAGCTTATGGCAGATAGAAGGTCATAATTTATGCCAGATAGAGTGTCCGAGCGATAGAATGCCAGACTGCCAGACTATAAGCCAGAATTTGTGCCAGATAGACTGCAAGTATTTATGCCAGATCGAACGCCAAAACGTATGCCAGAAAGAATGTGATTTAACAAATCCAAATAGAAGCCCGAGTATATGCCAGAATTTATTGCAGATAGAATGCCACATAGAGTGCCAGGAGTTCATGCCAGATAGAGATGAACGCCATTTTTTTTTGCCAAATAGAATGCCAGAATAGAATTGTCCAGATAGAATGCACGAAATAATGTCTGTAAAGTTTCTACATGAACGCCAGAATCTACTCCAGAAAAACTTGAAAGAATGTCATTAAATTTTGGAAATGGAATGCCAGTATATATGACATTGTATGACAAATAGAATGCCAGGTAGACATGAACACCAGACAGAATTTCACCAAAAATTCGAGGTAGAATGCCATTACCTGCCAGATAGAATGCCCAGAGTGCATGCCGGATAGAATGCCATCGTTTACGCCAGATAAAATGTCAGAATATATGCTAGATGGAATGTCAGATTACATGCCACTATATGCCAGAATATATGCCAGTAGACGCCGGAATATATGCCAGATAGATTGTCTTAATGTATGCCAAATAGAATGCCAGCGTGTATGCCAAATAAAATGGCAGCATGTATGCTAGAACGTGTGCCAGAATGTTTGCCAGCCAAAATGTTTGCTAGATAGAATGCCAAGATATATGTGCAAGATAGACACATTCTTTGATGGCAGAACCAATGTCAGAATATTTTGCCTTCTTCCAAATCGCCTCTCAGGGTGGGAGTCACTCGAAGTAAAGTAGTTTTCGTATCATGGATGGCCTGGTTGGCTGCGAAGACGAGTTGCAGATTGAATAATGAGAGCCCCGAACCTGTTTTGAAGATTCGCCAACCCCCCAAAAAAATGTTCCTTGGGGGCAAACAATCCGACCTGTTGGTATGACTCCAACTGGGACTCTTTTGTAAGCAACTGTTTGAACACATCAATATCCACAAAGACGATTGATAGCTATTGAATTGATGTGTCCAGAAAGTTGTTCCGACATTTCACAAGAGTCTAAAAGCGATTTAAATTACTGTCTTCAGTGGTGCCAACAATGAAGTTGCAAGTTGCCATGACCCGAAGCAGACAAGATGTTCCCCCCTGACGAAATGTCAGGTAAACGCCGTTAGCATGTGTTTGCATTGAACACCGACACCCGAAACACCACGAACAGCATCAAAGAACCCTCACGGAGAAACATGTTTGTATTGTTAGTTGGATGTTGCAACCAATTGAAACCATGACATCATATGAATTCCAATCCTTGGTTGTTCATTGTCCCATGGTTCCCTTGGCCGAGGTTTGGGATGGGTGCAAGACTTGGCTCCCACGGCTGCTGGGCGGGAAATCGCAGAGATGGCTCCCGGTGGGAGCATCCCATGGGGCCTCTGCTGATGGATGCAGCGATTGGCCAAAACACGCAACACAAAAAGGTGGCAAAGTTTGTTTTGAGTTGAACTTCCTCTCCTTTCTCTCCGTCCTCCTTCCTTTCCTTCCCGTCCTTTTTCCTCTCCTCTCCTTCTTCTCCCTCCCTGCCATCTCCCTTTCGGCCTGCCTTCATTTCTTCCTTAGGTCCTTTTTTGTTTCTTTCACGATCGGAAAGGAATACAAGAACTTGAAGAGTCAGGGTTTTGGGTTTGGGTGAACTTTTGATGGCCTGGCCTGACGTCCCGAACGTGTGGCAAGGTTGACATCTATGAGAATGACATCACAGGAATGCAGGACACATAACATGAATGCATCCACTCAGGGGAAATCTTTTATTATTGCGAACGACATGAGTTTGTGGATGTTTATGGGGTCAGCATTGTTCTTTGTTTGCTTTACATCACCTAGGTGCGAGCCGTTTCAAGTGATGTGCTGCAGAACAAGGAAAACAACTCGCTAAGGAGTAGTTGTGTGACCAGCTTCTATTTGGAAGATTGCAATATCCATGTTGATCTCTTTCTAAGGTTGTCCATATTCACATCGATCGGGTTGGCACCTTTCTGGAGACTGATGAGTACTACAGGACTCGCGCGCGCATGTTGCGTGAAAAGGGCAGATTGTGAAGACGTGGACCACATATCACCTCACCGCCGCCTTAGATTTGACTGTAAACGGATGCGTTGAACATGCCAGTAGGCATCAGGGGAACTAAAACATCAAGTTTTAGCATGCGACATTCTACCTCTTGGAAGTTGAGCTGTTGTGTTATGATTGACAGAGTTTCAGCGTAAATGCAGTGTGGATCTAATATATTATCGACAAATTATATGAATTTATATGGGGTATTGGTGCAATGGTACGAAGTGCACATTGCATGTAATTGCAGTTGCTTGTGAAGGTTGAAATGGGCAGATGTAGACAATTGTAGACAGTAGCACCACGAAGGAGCCAATTTGAGACTGGAACCTCCAGCGGTGCACTTGACGGACCCTTGTGCTGATCTAGTGAAGGGGCGGTTATATAAGTGGCTAAGTCAACGGGGAGCTGAGGCAGCTGAGGGCAATGATGGTGCATCAAAGGTGTCCCAGTTCAGGCAAAAGCAGGCTCCAACCATCTCCAACCCACGACTCTTACATACCCTTGTTTGTCACTTTTTTGAACTCATGTGTGCCAGTCCCTCTATCATCCTCACTGCTGCTCCTTTTGGCGGGTGCACTTACACCTGTTCTTGGTTGGTACTGGATCTGGCAAGACTGAGTGGGCGACAGATCTCGCAGCATCAAACCTTGAAGAGGAGTCCGTCCATGTAGCAAAACCATTTTGATCCATTTTGTTTGCCCTGCCAGTGTTTGCATGAACTTCCTTCCTTGTGAACCTGCCAGACATCCATTTGCTCGTCGTGCCGCGCTTAGGCAAGAATGCCATTCGGAAGCGGTGGGAAATGGAACTCTTTGGAGGCACTTATGAAGACACTTGACAAAATCAAGCGAAGTTGCCCTTGAAACCGATCGAAATCTAACTCCGGGCCTCATTTGAGAGATGTGCGTAGTGACGTAGAGCAGACTCTACGGATGTTCAGAGCAATTCCAAGGATGCCAAGCCATTCGAGAGATGTAAGTCCCTGGGCCGCTTTGGGAGTGACCTGTTGTTTGTGCCTTACATATGCATGTTCGTTACTTCAAACACGTTGCTGTTGCAATAGGTCTTTGATGATCTTTGTGTGATCTTTGTGAGTGGATTTGGTGTGCTGGAGTCATTGTCAGCTCCTACTGGAAAGACCTTGAACGGCTCCCCTCAAAAAGCATAGATCAACATTTGATCAACATTGCGCATGATCTTGGATTCGATACTTGTTTGCATTTGTTCGCAGACCACAGAGCATTTGTCGATGCGTGCCCAGGTACGGGGCTTTGGGGGTGATGAATGACTTCCGAGGAGTGACCTCAGCTTATGGTTATGGAGACTCCTACCTTGTGCCTGGGACGATGGTGGATGGGCAGGTGGATGGGGAGGTGATGGGTGTTGGAGAAGATAATTTTTCAATACAAAGTTTAGGACCTTTTTGAGCAAATTCGCAAGGTGCATTTTGTTGGATTTGTACGGGACACGTGTTTTTGATTGTTTTTGGGTGTCAGGTGTCAGCAGAGTAAATTATATACTGTACTGTATATAATTCTATGATCACCTGCAGATTACCGGTTTTGGACCACCCGAGCAAGCCATGACGTTTGTGGACAAGTACGAATGTGGTTCGAACATATGAAATGACAGTGCCACCAGGTAGAACATGTTCTTAGTATCTTAGTACTTAAGCTGATGACATGCATTGACTGTTGCTGTTGTTTGTTGAAAGGCCAACCTGCTGTTAGTGAGAAAATTGACACCGGGTTCTACTTCATTTATATGTACATATTATATACTGTAGATGTTCATAATATATTATATACATAGTCACAGACACACACACATATATATATATATACACATTATATGGACCTGTATATATATATATATATACACTTGACCCCTCGTTCGCATCGATCTGGTGCCACTGGTGAGGTGTTGAAGGACGTGCGGCTCCGCTGCACCTTTGCCTCCACGGACTCGGGTGGCATCAGTGGCCAACGCTTGGCCGTCTTGGACAAGTATGCGCATGTCCTCAAAGAGCCACTTGAACTGTACCAAATACTGACTAGCTCTACCGATTTGTTCCTGGAACCCTTTGGTTTGCTTGGTGGGTCTGCAGATGTGATCATTTGCACCTCCGTTTGAGCTAATTGGTGGAGTCTCCTGTTCACTACAGGACAAGCATCATTCATGGCAACTCAATCTTGATTTGCAATCGTTGCCCCTGATGGAAGCAAGCAGCCAACTTTGAATAGCTTGGTGCACTTCTGCTGTTGGGGGTTTGGTCCATGCACAGAACCGTTTGTTTGCTGGTAGTCATTGGCAGACTACATCCTAGGTACAGCGATGATGACGCTTGGCTAGCATGCATTGGCCCAAACGCTGTAAAAGGGTTGTTCCTAGCACATGTTCCAGGCAGGACCATGGGTCAAAGGATGTCAAAAGACCCATCAGCCTTTCCTAGCTAAACTCGTGCCATATCGCAGTTTTTTTTGAGAAGGTTGCAACGCTGAAGGGAAATGGCCCTAGACATTCGAAGGGATCACTCAGTATTGAGAATTACAACATATTGCAGCAGATGCTGTCAGGATTGCTCCTGAAAAGTCTTTGGCGGCAAAAGTTGATTTCAACATGTTGTGCCCCTTAAAAAGGCAACAAGAGGCCCATGCCCCATCCCAACAAAGCATGCTGGTGCCCGCACGCCCCGCTGAGGAGATGCGCAGCTTGATCGATGTGGCAATGTCCAACACCTCCTTACAAGATATGCCCCAGGCGCTTTTTGATGGCGAGGTTATCCGCGACGTCGTGATCAACATTTAGGGTGTGACGATCTGAGCTGCCAGCAAAAACCTTGGTGTTCGATCAGCGGAGCAGTGGATGCATGCAGAGCTCCTTTTCTTCCTTGTTTTTGTTGGATATGGCCACTTGAGCAGCGCCGTAAACCTCCCTTTACATTTTTGTTAAGAGCTTGGTCATAAGGAGGGTTGGCGTAAGCAAAAGTCTGCTGCGCGTAAGGTTGCGTAAGGTTTTTTCAACATAACCAGTGGCGTAAGGGCCAATCAATGAAAACAAGTTGTTTTTATGAACCAAGGAATGATCAGACATGGCGTAAGGTCCGCGTAAGCACTGCGTAAAGACAACTTCGATTTCTAATCAATTGCCCACGCATGGCGCCAGCTCAGACTTTGAGCAGGCAAGCAAGAAAGCGCAAGCGCCAGAGTGAGGCCATGAAGTCTGACCAGGTGTTTGATGCAGAATCCACATCGTCCTCATCAAGCATATCATCTAGTCACTCTGCAAGTAGTGCTGCGTGAAAATGGTCGCCTGCCTTGTGTGCGTGTGTATCTATCCTGCTATGAACTCATCTTCGCGTAAGCTTTTCTCTTGGAGGGGTGTGGAAATTTGAGTGCAGTGCTCTGGCGTAAGCCTGGCGTAAGCCCTTTCTACCACAAACCAGCCGCGTAAGCTAAAACTGTGCGCGCGCAAGGAAAGCGTAAGTCTCAGCGTAAGACTTCCCATACGACCTTTCAATCTATCAAGGTTTCCAGCACAGCTCACTTGCTGTTCTCAAGACTGACAGAGAACAAACATGAACAAACCCTCAAGGTGCATCGGGCCACACTCATAGCCTTGTTTCCGAGGTGGCCAATTGTTGAAACAATGTTTACTGTTCAAAACAATTTTTGGGACCTTACGGTGCTTGCTGGAAGTGCGGTTTTAAAACCATATTATATCCAATTATACAATTGATCAGATCACAATCGATCCAAGCTTCCGTTTCGTCATTGGCTTCCATGACCTCTAGCCCACGGCAGCCCGCTGCGTTTTCGGATGTTTTCGGCGGGTCGTCCGGTCTCACAGGTGCATCCAACGCTTTTGCGGGGGATGAGCGAAGACCCCATGGAGAACTGGCCACTGGGTTGGCGGAATAGGAGAAGAATTGGAAGTTTTGCTGACAATCGATGACAATCGTGCGTTTGCATTCTCACTTCCCTCTTGAACATGATGTTTGTCGTTTCTTGTTACTTTCTGTCTAACTGTCAGATCTACAGCAGACCTCGGCTTCAATGAAAGTCACCTAAAACATAATGAAGCCGCTTGTGCAGACTTCTGATTGCCAAGGATCACCGTTGGCTTCCCACACCTGGCCCAAAAGAGGGGACGCTTCTTCTTTGAGGCCCAGAACGCGAGGAGATTTGGCGAAGCCTTGGAGTAACCTACTACAGTAGTAGAGAAGAACAGTGCATTTGTTGTCGCTGATATTGTGAGCCCAAGCGGCCATCTGCAAATGTTCACCAGCTGTTTAACATAAATAGGACATGCTTGTGCATGGCAACTGCAACGTTCGGGGTGCCCAATTTGGCAGGTCGAGCTCTATTCTACCTGCTCCTCTCCACAAGTGGGCGTCCTGAGCACTGACTTCGTGGCTGCACCGCGCAACAACAGCTTCCTGGGAGGCGCGAGGGCCAGCTGTGAGTTTTTTGTTTGAGGCAAGGGAAGAACACTAATTAGGTTACATCAACGATATCAAACACTTACTTTGACCCCGATGTTCATAAATGGCTTTGTCCGGAAATGGCATTGATGTTTGTGACGCTTATTGTCAGATTCCTTGCTGGATTGATCCAGGATTCTTCCCTCTATTAAAGCCCATAGCCGGCCCATAGCCGCTAGCCTCTAACATCTATAATACTTTACGATACTTTATTACGTTATTGAATTGTCAAGCGATTGATAGTGTGGTTATGGTTGCACTGCCGGCAGAACTGGCGACTCTGTCGTGCAAAGATAGTACCCGAAGTAGCTCAAGGCTAAATTAAAAAGTGCCAACTTTTGTAGGACAAATTAAGATAAACTAAATATGAGAAGTAGCTTGTGGCACCCTGAGAAATGGGCCATTTCTTGAGTCAGTCACTCATGTCTTGATTCACCTCTCGGTCCCTCACTTGCCGAGCGACTCACGCACGCACTCACCAAATCATACACTCCTTCCCTGAAACTTCTGCCCACCGGCTTTGCTGGAGGACTATCTCGTATTACTGTAAATTCTTTAGAAACTCAGATGTCACTTTGACGCAGATGCTTGCTCTACTCATATCGTAGAACACATCAAATTATTGGTGGCTGTTTATTTTCCGAGCATAGAGTATAAATTACATATGCTGCTTTCACTACCAAGATGCCCGGTGCAAACATGTTGGTGGCGTCACCATCACCTCCAATGTTTGCCCCTGCCTGTGGGGGATGACAGTAGGCCCAATCATAATCTCAGATGGCCTTGCGTAAACCTATACCATTGATTTGAGTATGGGTTTCTTGCTCTTTTTCAACATGTTTTCTGCCATATCCATGAAGCTGTGATTTGGTCAGCATTCAAGTGGATTCCAAAGATGGATAGAATCGTGTTTTTCATCAAGTACGTTTAAAGGGCCTGACAGTGGGTCCCACGTGACGTGTGGAATTGCCTCAAGAAGGCGACTTTGCCTCATGTTGCGACAGGAGTTGGTGATGACGATGAGGGTTGGGGCGCAGATGGGCAACATGCAATCCTGTGGCACAAAGGTGCCCATGCTGCAGGTCATGAGGTAGGACATGATTCAGCTGAAATGATATATGGAATTCGTGAAGCAACAACGAACCTAAAGTTTCTCTTTGAACGGGCAATTGCAAAAGTGGCTTCTTCACGTTCTCGGTCCGAACCACCGCCCACCCGAAGAAACTGTTGGGAACCGCTGAGGTGAGCGCTTGCCCTTCGACTGCTTGTGGCCTTCGGACGGTGGAAGTCTCACCGAGTCTCGGGCAGAGGGAGTGGGGGTGGCATTGGGCGACAATACCCGGCATAGATCCCAGTAGCATGGTCTTCTACATGTTTGCTGAAGGTCAACAAGTTTTGCTCAACAGTCATGAGTGTCAGCATTGGTTGTTGTGTGTTCTCATGATCTCTAGTGACTAGTGATCTGTGTGTTTTATATTGTGTGTTATTCTCAACATGCAGTATTTGTTCTAGCCTTTTGTTGAAATATGGATACTTGTCGGCTCTTGTCGTTCGCAATACATCACAATACTTAAACTGCATAAACCATTGATTGTGAGTGTTGTTTAAAGTCTTCTCTCATTCAGATCAAATCTCCCCTAAATGGACCTATTTGATAATATTTGAAGTTTTGGAGTTGGTGCTGCCCAGCCCAGGCGGACGTGGTGGTGGGTGTGGCCGTCGACCTGGACCGGCGACAGATCTTCTTTGCCACGTGCCTCGGCAGTCACAAAGATCGGCAGAATCTGAGAACATAATGAACATGGGAATTGGAATATATACAAATGTGGAGGAGCAAGTAGGCAATCCATTCCACGAGAGCGAGAATGTGCTTCCGAACTTTTGGCATGCCACATTTTTGGAGTTCATCTCTGTTTTAAGGTCCGTTGGTTTGCTTGCTCCGACTAGGGACCGAAAATCCAATGCTGCTCAGGAACGGCGAATGGCGAACTCAGCCGGACTTTGACGACCCTTGGAAAACTAGCACATCTTCTTTTGAGTTACTAAAAGGAATGGCCTCTCGATGGCCGCCACCCTAATTAGAGGACCTTGCACTTGATTTTTTCTTCAAAGCCCTCCATCTCCAAAACGTCACGCATGACCTGCTGACATGGCAACATACGGTCTCCTTCCTCCTTTCATGATTGTTCCTGCTTAGCTGAGGAGTCCCATCTTCGCAAGAACCTTTCTCTCTACCCAGCCCTCTCGGTGCGAGGTCGAGCAGGCGAGGCTGACGTGGGGCGTAGGTATGTGATGTTGTTTAATCTTTATATTTTGTCAGATTTGAAGGTGAACCGTAATTAAACCTGTCGTTTTGTTTCAGAACCCGGTCTGCACATGTCTCCATAAGTCAACATTCTCCCATAGTTCAAGCCCGGTTGCGGCTGGTGGACTGCATTGCTTGGTATGGGGACTTGTTTAGTGTAGAATGGGCTGGGTTTCTCAAACTTCAATTACGTTCGAAATCGTTATCATTAACTTGCGTGCATCAAGCATTAGCAAACGGTGCCAAAACATCTTTTGTTGCACTCTTAGTGGACTTGTCATGAGCCTAGTAGCGACAGATGCCTCTTCCAGGCTTCAACTTCGGGCCGAACTTCAAGCACAGTGGGCCTAGCTACTTCTCGCGCTGGCCGGGAGGTGGAGATGTGGTTGTGCGCGTCGATTGCCCAATCCTTGGAAATTCCCATCGATGCTCAGCTGCCACACTGTTACTCCCCATAGGCCCCTGCATTGCTTGGTTCGAACCTGTTTCCACGTGTTCGGTAAAGACAGATTGCAATTGGCATCAATTGGCAATATATTGAAATGCCTGAAGTTCGCGTGGTGTTAGGAGAGGGACTGTCTTGTGTTTAGTTTAGTCTTGTCACTTGTTAGTCACGTCTCTTGTCTTTAGAGGGACTCTCTTGGGTTGAATCAAATGTTATACTCTAGGCAAAAGCTAGCTCCGCTTCGGCTTCTGGATTGGTTGGGCCTGAGGACTTCGTGTCTACAAAGAGATCCAAATCCACGGCGAAGTGAGTCTCAAGCGAAACGTGCAGCGACTCGTGGCCAACAAAAAGCCTCGCGGTGGCATGAGGGGACACTACTAGGTGGAGGTCATCGCTATTAGGTTGGAGGCCATTACTAGTAACAAGAAGCTACTAGTAACAAGAATTCAACAAATGATGGGACATGAGATGCAGAGGCAGACACGACGAGGAAGATGCTTGATGATTTATGATGATTTGCGTGGCATGTTTTCCTTTGAGGAATAGTTTTTTCTTTGCAAGTGATGCTGCAAATGGCTAACGGCTAATGAAATCTTGTGGGCAAGAACTTGACATCTCTACACAATCATTGAATCATTGAGTTGTTTCTCCGACTAAAGCGGATCAGGTTCTTAGAGAAGCAAAAGAGCGAACGCACATGGGCAATCCGTGTGGATGGTTTGGAGCCAGAGTTCAATGGCCCCTACCAGCGAGCTGGTGCGCGGAATAGTATGCCGCTCTATGTCAAGAATGCATCTTGGTTGAAATGTGATACAAAACTGTACACGCAATGCAAAGCTATAACATGCAAAACGGCTGGATAAGTCATTGTGGGATCCAATTTTAGATGCATTTGAAGGAGACCTCTTGAGAGCTCCCAATTCAATGCTTTCGATCCAGTCAGTCATACCTAGTGATCCAGCCCTGTTTCAGATCACATAGAGGAGCCGATCTGACACCAAGAGTGCCACATAGAGTGCCACAGAGTGCCCAAAGGACAGGATGATGTTCAAAGAGGTTTCATGGTCCGGTGAAGCCATGTCAAATGGCTGCGACGCCATGCTTTTGTAACACTTCAAGCCGTGCGTGGTGCTTCGCAAGGGAACAAGCGCTGCGATCTATTTCAGCGCGAAGGAGAAGGAGTGGCGTATCGTGCAGTTATCCGATGCGGACGTGGAGAAGCTGGAACTGGAGGACCAGTGCCTCAGACTGCACAGAGGACCAGTGCCTACTTCGGAACAAATGGGTGGAGATCAATGGGCAGAAACATTTTGGAACCCCGAAACCATCCCAAGATTCTGTGATGGGCAAAGGCTGAGTAATTGTCAAGCGTCCCTTAGAGAAATCACATCTGAGCCTCTGAGCGTTAACCTGCGGATGGACATTGTCCTTTCCGACCGTTTGCCAGCATCAATTCCTTAAAGTTGAAGTTTGAATTTACTCAGATGGCATTGGAGTTGGCTTGTTCAGTGCGTTATTGGCAGAGACACGGTTGTCCAGACTGACTGTTGCTTTTTTTGCAGCATGTTGCAACGTTCGTCAGCATTCATGGTTCTTCCTTTGCAGGCAGATCATTTGAGGTCTCGCACCAGGTCCTAGTGGGGCGACGCCAAAAACCGCAGAAAGACGCTTCCGGGCCAAGAGGGTCACATGGTTCACCTCAGCGATCGCTGCAGCCATGGTCGCTGCACCGCTCACGTCGCCCTCGCAGCCCCCGCCCGCCGCTGCGCTTGGCCTCACCGACGCCACACCCGCCAAGCACTGCGTAGTTGGCGGGCGCTGCCGGCACCTTACGGTGCCTGGGGCACACGAGGCTTCTTCGCGGTGGGACGGGTAGAGGAGGAATTACTGGAAGAACTACGGACAGAAGTGGAGAAGTCTTTGGCTGGATTTGAGAGGTGGGTGGTGATTTCTCCGAACAAGGTGGTAATGTATTTTCAATCGATGTCATCATATAGTGTATACAGTAGTGTATCCTTGTAATGTATACTTATATACTAGGATGATTCCTGTCCGAAGTCCTTAGTCGTCTAATGTCAATGGTTGTGTCGTCTTGCAACATGTACCGAATTTGTGTTCAGATGCTAGGATTTCGGTGACAAGATGTCTGAAAACCAGCCACTTCCTGCTAAGACCAGGTCCTCCAAGGAGCCGTTCCTCTTGAAGGCAGATTGGCACACCTGGCCACACCTGGAGACCTTCTACGGCCTTGTCCCACGTTTGGGTCGTGCTGGTACCCTGCACCCTGCGCCGCTCTGCTGCACAGCCTTCGCTGAGGCCTTGCGCCGCCGCATGCGGCGGCTGTTGAGGGACGTGCCGGGGAGAAGCAAGACAGCGCAAGCGGTGCAGGAGGCCTTGAAGACTGGCAGCTGAGACAGCTTTTAAGGCTTCAGACTTGTTCTTTTGCCACTTTGTTGCTTTGCTCGGCTTTGCTGATGAATTATATTAAGCAACTACATAATAATTCTCATCAATTAACTCATTTTCTTAATTGTTCTTCATAAAATATTGGTCCACTGGTCGAGTTCCCATTCTTGGGGAGTTCCAGGTATGTTTGCGGCAGTGGAAGCGCAGGTGCAAACTTCGTGTGGCGAGTGGCACTTCATGCGATCGCATCGCGACGGCGCGAGCGGCCTCGTTCAGTTGGGGCTCACGCTACAGGGCCGCCGTCACTTGCGCCTGGCCGCTCGGCGGACGCCCGACAGGGCACCGCTGACAGGCGGCTGTGCGGGCGAGAACGAGGTCGACGTTTGGGCAGAGGGAGAGCAGGCAGATGCTACGAGCAGCATCTCAGTGGTAACGGTGCCAATGGCTGAAGGCAGGAGTTGGCCAATCATAAAACCTCCAAGGAATGGATTAGAATGCAATAATATTATATATATATGTCATACTGTGTAATACTGTGTATATATATACTATATATATTATTATATTATATATTAGTGTACGTATATAATGCAAATGCAATTTCCAGTGTCTATGAGTCTATGAAAGGCCAATTCGGCGGATCATGGATCCAGGGGAGCAAACGGGCTCAACATGATTCTGCAGGTTGCATTTCGGATGATTGATGATTCAGGCCAAACATGACCAAACATATTGTTCTTCTCGTTGCCATGCATAAAACCAATACAGCAATGCATATGATGCTGAGCTTTGATCGCTTGAGACGGCTGCACAGTTTGCGTCCATGCGCCTGTTTGAATTCATCCACTTAGAAGCAACTCTTTTTTAGGTGATGTTTACCTGGCGACTCCTGCTATCCTTGAGCACGGGGTGGCCTACGAGCCTGGCCAGCAGACTGTTGCACTGATGTTTCGCCTCGCTCTCGCAGCGGAGGCAGAGGAATTAAACCGATGTCAAAGTGATGACTTTCACCAAGTAGCTGGCCACGTGGCATTGGAACTGCAGAAGGCATTGGATCAACGCAAGCTGCATTTGCCAAGCTTGGCAGAGGTCATAGAGGTCGAACATGAGATAGCACAGACCACGAAGACCTTGATTAGTTCTCACAACTCGGAAGTTTGATGGGCTGGCGCTTCATCAAGAGCCATTTGTGGGAGCCGAGTGAAAGGAAAGGCCAGACAAGACATGGAGTACACCAAGCCGAACTTTGCCTCCAATCTATATAGTTGGATGTTGACTTCGAATTTGCAGTCTCCCAATTGGCGGGCACAGCAGGGAGAAGTGCTACCCTGAACATTGCTTCATAGAGGCGCATCATCCGACACCAAGGCCTCGCGCAAAACATGGGAATGTATATAGATTCATTGCGAAAGCATCGGCGGCCAGTGGAATCGAACTGCATTTGTTCAGGGAAGATACGTACATGCTCGAACGCACAAGGATCGGTGCAGGAGATGAAGCATGATGAAGCTTGAGTTTGATCAAGTTTGACTTGCTCGGAAGAAGAACAATGTGGATGCGTCCAAGACTGTGAATGGAGGTGTTTCCCAGAAAATGCCGGCGAACATCAGGAGAGTTTGCTGGTGTGGGGTGTTGTGCAAAAAATCAGAGCGATGCTCTCTCCACGCAATCGACAGGGACTCAGGGACTTGGAGGGGAGGGAAGGAGCAGTGGAAAATCTGCGACCTATGTCAACTGAATCACTCGGTTCAGATCATCTATAGATCATGGGTTCTATCAGTTGTCGAACAACGCGTGCTAATCACTGTTTGCTCCAAGATAGTCCAGTGCCAACCACTGGAGGAACACGCAAGCACTTAGAAGAGGCAGATGGGGAATGCAAAAGACTTGACACCACTGGGGCCGCTGGACATCACAGGACCAACCGTGGATAGTTTGTTGGTATGGAGTCGCCAACCCTGATGCAACAATAGGGTTCTCAGATATATATATATATATATTATATTATATATATTACATATATACATAGATGTAATTAAATGACTACAGTATAGTAACTAAGAATCTATATTGGAAGAAACTCGAAGACATTCCAGTCCTGCCCAGGAAGATCTTGGCGCACGCGCCGAAGGAGCCCAAGGACAAGGACGACATGTCGCCTCCCCGAGAAGGCTGGGAGAGGCCGCCAGAGATCATGGGCTATGTGCCGGTGGAAGACTTCAGGCGGGCGAAACAGGGAAGTCGCAAGGTGGGAGGATGGAAAGTGTTGGGAGGGACTTCAGTCGAGCCAATGATGCTTTCTTTGCACTTGATCTCCAATGCTTGCATCGGCTAGGAGCGCCTTGAAGAAGGGGAGCATGGAGAATGAGGCTTCGAAGCTGATCGAAGCACTCAGAGGCGGGTTTGAAGCAGAGATCGTTGTGAGTCAGGGATAATCAGGGCTTGCGCAGTTTGTGGGACTGTTTTGGTTGGTTTCAATGTTTGGATTCCGCGTAATTCCACATTTGAATATGGGACCATTTGATACTGTTGACTCTATGGCATGTCATTGTATTCGGCCGCGTGTCTCAGAATATGATGCCCTCCCTAAATGGATGCGCTTCAGGCACCGTCGATGGCGAGGAAGTGATCTTCCGCTCCGGAAGGCCAATCAAGCACCTGGCAGGTTGAGATATCACAATACAAGAGAAAATAGAGAAAGATCTCTTAAGTACTGGTGCTATGTATCACTATAACATGCAAATACACATAAAGACTGATACATAAATAAACTCTATATGTGAGGTTCTTTGGGATTTCCCTACAATCAGCTTCAACAAAAGCGTTGCCAGGAGTGGCCCTATGGGCTCCAATAGCACTGAAACTAAGATCATGACAGCGATTGCCACTTCGGGCTGGACAGCTTGTCACTTTGGGGAGAGCTCACACTTTTGACCTGTATGGGAAACATGCCTGGCACAGGAAGACGACGCTGGAAGCACAATGGGAGAAACTGAGCAATCCAGGCAGGGCGGGTCACCTGATATGTCAGTGTTTTTGCATGGTTTTGTCCCTGCGTAACAAGCAACTACACGTCCTGTCGACAAAGACTTGGCGCAACAAGGTCTATGCGGAGGCCGTTGTTTGCCCAACAGACCAAGAAGCATTGTTTCTTTGGGCCAGATTTTGATAGAAACCAATCAAGAGCGGCTGTGCACCGCTCATATTGGATTTTTCATATCTATCTATCTATCTATCTATCTATCTATCTCTATATATATATATACATTTTTTTTATTTATTTATAAATGCATCGGGTAGGGATGCATAGAGTGTGTAAATTCTTAATTTAGGAGGGGGCAAAGATGGGTGCGCAAATTGCACGATCGCAGTGTTCACTCCATGTGGCTGCAGGTATGGGCGTCGAGGCCACATGGAGCTCGGCAGTGGAGGTGGGGTCGTCCAAGAAGTCCCTTAGTCTCCCGTAATTCCACTTCTTCACTTCATCTGCCGGACAGTGAGTCTCACTAATAAGGCAATCCAAAAGGTATGCATAGATGATGCAATGGGAAACATGGCTGCTTGCCCCACTGGAACATGTGCGTGAGCAAACTTTGATCGGCTGTGTCAGGTCTCACAAGAGAGGCTGATGAATAAAATGGGCCTTAGCAAGTGCAAAGTCGTCGAGACGGCGCATCCCTATGAGACACTTGATGCACATTCGGCCGGGCGAAGCCGAACGGTCAGGGTTTGTGGTCAAAGTGTCCGACAGCTCTGAGGATTGGTGGTGTGTGTTGTATAGCTGTTGAGACTATAGTAAGACTATGTACAGTAAGACTTTTGATTTGGAGACGCTACTGAACAACGACAGAGTCGACAGTTTGTAAGTCTTAGAAACCAATTTGTTTGACACAACAGCATTCGAGTTCTGAAAGAAAGTGGATTGATATTGGTTGGTGTTGGTGATGCAAAATGTTGGCGTGTATGTTCGAAATGGAAGATCTTCCTCATCTGCGCAACTCGGAGACGACAGCGGGATGTCCCTGTGGCCCAGGACAGCGGAGCATTCCTTTACCAAGACGGTGTCCATCGATACGGAGGGTCCAATCGAGGTCCATTTCGGACAGGAGCTTTTGGTAGTGCGGATTCGGTTTGGTTCGTCAAGCCGAGATCGTTTGATCCAGGATGATCCAGGAGCATTGCAATTGTGATGCATTTGCCTTTTGCAGGATAGGATACCAAAGTTGTGTGATGTTTTCTCCACTTCAGCGTGTGTTCAAGGCTCCAATGTATGTTCAAGTATTTTCACGTTTGAGATACCTTTCAGATATCCGCCGCATACAAAGATAGGTGAGATAGAGGGGGGAGGATATCTCACACTTGCTTGGCCTTTGCTGCTGTAATAGGTGTGCACTTGTATCTAGCTAGACCCCCAACAAGTGGGGATCGCCCTCTTCCAGGGGTTTTTATTTTACAAACATCGCTCACCGTTCGAAAGGAGTGCCGCACCTACGATCACCGCACCACACTTTGCGTTTATGGGGGCGGCCTCAGCAAAGCTTTGGTGGGCGTTGGCGCACGCGTGCACGTCAAGGACGGCATGCTGTAGAGATGACGGCGAGTTCAATGTGATTTTGGATATTTTCTTAGTGGGGGGATCTGCCTATTCTTTTTGTCTACCAGTTCAACTTGAAATGTTTTGAAAGATGAAAGGTGGATTGAGAATATCGATTGAGAATATCCTCCTTGCCATACTTTGCCCATCAACAATGCAATCTGGTAAGCTACACGGATTACTTGGGTTGTCTTGCAGGTTCCTACAGGTCAAGAACAAGCGCATGGCACCATCATTGGCCGTTCTGAAGGCGCGCCGCGTTGCACTCACAGGTTAGCTTTGTTGAGATCCATGGTATCAGCATGTATCAGCCAACCATGACGACTGCAACGAGCAGCTCGTTGTCTCACCTGAATCCAGTGAAAGTCAGCATTCGTCATTGGACATGTTTAACTTAAGAAGCGGCTAGGTTTGCATTTCCCTACGTCCTACGCCTATGTCATTTGTATTGATTTGTGTTGATTAATTAGTTAATTCATTGCGTAGAAGTGAGTGCTCGCGGGTAAAGTCACCGTACCAGTTCACTTCTCCATACCGATACCTGCCCAGCCATGCCCAGCCAGCCAGCTTGCTCAAGGTGGCCGGTGGAAGGTACGTGTGGACAAGGACGAAGCTGAAATCTGCGGCTGTTTTAAGGAGCCTTTGGCCAATTAGAAAGGACAGACTCAGACAGACGGAAGTGTCCGAGTTTTTTGAAAGACCCTGACCGGAGGTACTAGGTTGGAGGCCATCGCTATTAAGTTGGAGGCCATTGCTATTGGCTACTAGGTAGTCAGCGTCTTATCAAGATAGATGGATGTTGCCCAGGCACATCCAGGCACCCCTGCATTAATGGCTCTGTGTTCGAAGGTGCGTTCACCTGTGCCATCGACCCAAAACCTTCGGTCGGTAGTGGTTTCATTGGTGTTTCATCTAGATCTACTCGTTCAAAGATAGCAGAACGGATTTTGACGTGCAGTGACGTGCAGTTAGTTGTCATGCAGAACGACTTGGCCTACTGGTATGGGACAGTTTCCACAAAGTTTCCATTTGACCTTCATTTGGCGTCGCTGAGGAATGGATTGAGTCTTCCGACAATGGTCGAGATTCTTGGAGAGCATGATGTTCTTCAACCAAAGGACATCCGCCAATTGCAGTGGTCCTATTTGTATCTCCAACTCCAGCTATAGCTTTGCCAGTTTGCAATGGCGATTATACTTATATATATATATGAGCTAGAGGCGAAACAGTTCATGTAAGTGCTTGATCTTCGAGGTTCCACTTTATGATCGAGTTGCCTATGCCCTGTAAAACGATATAGCGAACTATATGATGTGAGTGTCTCCAAACCATGTAAAACGATATAGCGAACTACCAAAAACGATACTCTGAACTATCAGACCTTGTTCCATTGTTACTGTTCATTTTCTTTGTTTGAGTTTGGTTATCCTCTAGGCTTTCAAAAGAACAATGGCACTCATCCGGGTGTCTTTTGGCAGCTGCTAGACTCAGCTTGTGGTTGTGACAGAACCCTCACACGCATGTGCGAAGTCAAAAAGGATTATACCAAACCCTGTAAAACGATATGGTGAACTACCAACATCGATAATCTTGTCAAAGTGGAACCCAGTTTGCTGGGAGGTTTTGCCGGTCGCTCATATACACATTTTACTTTCGACCACCTGGCCTGATGCTGATCAAGTTGAGGAAGGAGGTTCCACAACTAACTCGCCAGGTTGGGTCATAAACAGCATGACTTTCTTCATGTCAGAACGTGTCTCAGTTCGCTCAAAAATGCTCCCACTCAGCAATCAATTGGTATTCTTTTTACCCAGACCTCCAAGAGCAATTCAGATGTCTGCTGGAAGACCCCAGAGCCATCAGAACTCAATTTACAATATTATAGGCTTATAAAAAGCTTTCATATGGTAAGGCCAGAATCCATGATTTAAAAAAAGCAAAAAACAGGGCAAAAAAAAGTCAACTGGAAAAGTCAAAGTCAAAAAACAGTCAAATTGAAAAGTCAAAAAACAGTCAAAAAAAGTCTTTAAAAAGTCAACCATAGACCACAGCTCGAAAAAAAAAAAAGTCGAAAAAAAAAGTCAAAAGTGTGGCTCCTTGCCTTGGCGGATTACTGCAGTCAAGAAAAGTCAAAAAAGTCAACCATAGACCACAGCTCGAAAAAGTTTAAAAAAAAAGTCGAAAAAGAGTCAAACAAATCGAAAAATATAAAAAAAACGAAAAATTGTCAATCAAAGTTGGATCTGGGCAAATTGACTTTTGTTTTGACTTTCTGAAATTTTCTGATTTGTTTTTTTTTAACTTTGACTTTTGGGATTGACTTTTTTGACTTTGTTTTTTTACTTTTTTTCAAAATTTGGAAAACAGGTTTTTTCCAATGAAAGTTTTTTTTATAATTATAGGTGTGACCACAAGTGGTTTCTCTTCTGCGACAACAACCGTTTCAAGTTGCTCGTACTTGCTGCAGGCACCGTAAGATTGAGAGCGTTTCTTCATGTTTCTTTGTTCCGCCGGTTTTAATTTTGGGCAACTTGGTGCCAGCGCTCATCAGCAGGCCAGGGCATTCTTCGGTTTAGATGTTACGGTCGACATCAATCTACTTCCATGACCATGGGCCACGGCACGGGTGATTGCATTTCCACCGAGGAACGATACTGCACGAGCTGTGTAGCGGAAGAGCAGAGAAAGTGTGTCGCAACCAGCCAGCAATGTTCAGTCAGTTGCAAAAAGGCAAGGTGCCGACAACGTGTACAGCGTACGGGAAAAGAAAGACACGATTTGAATTATGCATTGTGATATCGTCAGATGATTACAGGTTTGTGGTTTCTTTGCAACACAGACAGAGACACATCATTGGCTCCATGCTGCCCCCACATACTACGAGCTTCGGAACTTCCAAGCATTTCGGGGTGCTCTCACACCATCATACACATTCGGCCATCGACGGGTGCCCCGAGGTGGACTACTACGACGGTGAAACGCCGGGCAGTGAAATCGCCGGATTCAAGCAACATGGTGGCAGATTCAGCAGCATTTGTTGCTGTGATTTCGACTGTTGTTGCGGTCGATTGCTTTGCTCCTGGTCCTGGTGGAATTAAATTGTTCCGGCGACAATAGTCCGAGTAAGCAAATCTTCGGAAGTAGCCTAAATATGCCTAAATAGATTTACTGCAGCAATTAAGATTTTTTCCATAAGACCGCTTGAAGAAACGCATGCCCAAGGATAATTCAGAGATAGGTTGTGTCACCACCTAATAGCGTGAAGTCACACGTCGATCAATGTGCTTTGGACGCCAGGTTGGACCCTGCAGATCCTTTGAGCCCTTTCAGCATCAGCGGTTTCATTGCCAAGGCATTGTGGGTAGTAGTAGGCATTGTGTTTTCCCGCAATTTGTTTTTTGTACACACGATTCTTGAATCAAAAGTTGTTGCAAATCCGTGGACACCGACTGTCAACTTGGTGAATTCGGTGCTTCGCCCGATCTTAACCCTTTCACTGGTATATGTGTGTGTGTGTTTTGTTTTTTTTAGCTTTAAATGTAGATGTTGTCGATACCTGTAAATATGACTGGTTGAACCTATGGCTACGGTTCGACGAGCATACCATCATCACAATCATGCCAATTGCATTTGTAGATTTGCTATTTGGAGATCATTCAAGCAGCAGACTTTAGGTGGACTACTCCTGTATAGCCTAGCGGTGGAGTTGCACATGTCCAGTGGTCCAGCTTACAGTATGAAAGCACATGAAAGCTTTGCACGTGTGATCAGCATGGGCCTAGTGGGTTTTACCCCAAGTGGACAATACAGTGTCGCTCAGTACACCACATCTCATCCATTATTGCTTTAAACTTTAGCTGCGTTAACTCATCCAGAGACACGAAATAGATCTCCACTGATGGGTGCCCGCAGGGCCCAGCACAGATGGATGGCGTGATGGTGGGCTGGTTCCTGGATGTGGGTGCACTCCTGCAAGAAGTGCCTTAGCTGCAAAAGCTTGAAATCCAAGCACTCACCAATTGCCAATGTGTGTGTTTTGCACACTCAATTCGGAATGACATGTTTGGGAGTTAGAAGCGGGTTGAACGTGGTTGAACGACTGGATGGACAAAGGAGGAGACCTGGAGCCCTTGGTCCGTCCCAAAGTGAAAGATTCATCGCAAAGAGGATGCATGCGCAGATATGCAGGTCTCGAATTTGCAGGCTGTGAAAGACGCCCAGGCATCCCAACATGGCACAGGTGGCACATGGCCCCTCTTTTGTGATGTGGATGCCATGGCGCCCCCCTTGGCAGGAATCATTCATAGAGATGGAGATGGAAGGCTTGGGCCCTGTCCCAAGCAATATGACGGAGGCCAGGCCATAAAGCGGCTACACGCAAAGAATGTACACATTCTTTGTCATTCTTTGGCAGGTGAGGTGAAGGCTATTAGATTGCGTGCTGCTGTTTTGGACCACACAACCAAGCAGAACGCCCATCAAAACCCTATTCTATTTGCATCTATTTGCAATGTTCACTGTTGACCCCTTGTTCCTTCGCGTTGATCGATCACCCGACGTGTCAATCCCGCTTCCCTCCTCTCAGAGGTGCAGAGTTTTGAACATGACTCTTAGGTTGGAGGCCATCGCTATTACTGTAGGTTGCTTTTATAATGGCCCATCATGGCTTGTCGCTCCACGTTAGCCTCACCAGGTCGCTAACAACATGGACGACTTCCAGAAGCGGCTCAATGCGATGCTGACACTCACAGATGCTCGGGACCTGGGCCGTCAACCGTAAGGTGTTGCCTCAATTCGGCATACGACAGAAAGCACTTGCCCATACGACAGTAGCGTCCTTTGCTCCTAGTAGCTTCTTGTTACTAGTAGTAAGGCCAGGAGCCCCTAGTAGCGTCCTAGTAAGGTGTTTAGTGAGTTTGGTGAAACCAAAGTGTGTCCCAGACAGATGCTCTTGACTAGTGGAACCTCTATTGCTATTCAATGACAATCATGAGTAAGACACGTGCAAGCACGCGCACCTAAACAAGTCCCCAGGCCAAATATGCACTGAAAAGGACATCTCAAAACAAACCTGTCTCATTTGTTGCGACATTTCTAGTAGAAATATGACAAATACATATAATATATATATATGTTTATGTTGGGCGATGGCAGCCATACATGGCCAACCATCAAATAGTTTGTTTTGTGAAAAACAATTTTTAAAAAAGCAAAATAAAAGCAAATGACAATGCAAAAACAAAGCAAAAACGAAGCAAAAAGCAAAAACAAAGCAAAACAAAAGCAAATAACAAAGCAAAAACAAAGCGCAATAATAGGCCAAAAAAAAAGCAAAACAAATGCAAAAAATGTAGCTGTGCGTATTTGTCGCTTTTTTTTACTTTTTTTTCGCTGTAAGTTCGCTTTTTTTCGGGTGTTTTTGTTCGCTTTTTTTTTCTAGGAGGGTACAGCAAAAACAAAAGCGAAAAAAAGTTGTACCCTCCTAGCAAAAAAAAGCAAAAAAAAGAAAAAACAGCGAAAATAAAGCGAAAAAACATGCGAAAATAAAGCGAAAAAAAATGAAAAAAACCGTACGCACAGCTACATTTTTTTGCTTTTTTGTTTGCTTTGCCTTTTGCTTTTTTTTGCATTGTGTTTGCTTTATAAAACTATTT